TCATGAGGAGTGGATAATGGATGATGACTATTAGACATCCTGAGTACTCCATTGGTATCTTTGTGATTCATGAAAAAGAGAGGCAGGATTCCATTTTAAGAATGGAATCTACTAGTGGGTATTGGATGGACTCACTGTGTACAACTTACGGGAGGACATGAACAAGTATACCAAAAAATAAGCAAACATGGATGGTTTGTCATTTTCAATATGTACCTACTATGTGCCAGGCACTGTGCCAAGCACTGGGGATACAAAAAAAAAAAAGGAAAAGAAAGACAGTCCCTGCCCTCAGGGAGCTTACAATCTGGGGGTGGAGACAATATACCAAAAAAACCTGAAAGGGATTGCCAAAGGGTATCTGCTGCATGATTATGGTGTTCATGAAGTCAAAATGAAGCAGAACAGCTGAGGGCAAACGAAGAGTTGGCTGAAAAATTCTGAGCCCTTTATAAAGGGAGGTTTGGGGAGCAGTTTTTTGTTCTACCCTCCAACCCTTAAATCAGAGAAGAGAGGCAACTGAGAGTCCTGAAGAGTTGTTGAGAAACAAAGCTGAAGCAATCTCCATGATGATGAGCTTATCCAAGAGGAAAGCATGATGTTCTTGGAGTCCAAACCAAACAAAGCATCTGCATTGTTCAAGAGAACATCTAAATTTATAAGACCACAGATCCACTTGAGTATTTGAATGAGTTCTGTGAAAAAAATGTGTTTAATACATTTGCCTTTTTATATGAATTAATAATTTCTATTTAAAGTCTATTTAAAGGTATAGTTGATGCTGAGAAATTGGTATATTCTTTAATGTTCCCTTTAGAAATCTTTCAAAACCAACTTCTCAGATGGCCTCCATGTTCCTTTTTGTTGATCTTTTTGTTAGACTTATCCAGCTGGGAGGAAGGAAGAGTATTATTTTCTACAATAATTGTGACATTCTATTTCTTTATAGCTATTTATGTAGGTTTTCCTATGTAAATTTTATTTGCTATGCCATTTCATGAATGCATATTTAATAATAATAGTGTTTCATTGTTTATGGTAACTTTAAGCATAAAGCAGGTCCACATTTCTCTTTCTTAACATTCTGTATGTTTTTCTAGCATTGTGTGATAGTATGATTATGACTGATGATATTTTAAAATCTCCCAATAATATGTTTTTAGTTATAATTTCTTTTTGTATTCATCTTTAGTAAATGTATTTCTTTTATGTAGCAAATTATTCCCTTCTTTTTTTTATTCATTATGTCACTTTATTTCATTTAATTGGATGGTTTAATCCATTCACATTTAAAGTTATGATTCTTAACCTTGCTTTCACCATTTATTTCTTTTGTATTTATTTTGCCTCACTTCCTATTTTAAGTCAGCACTTCATCCATAAAATTAGTTTAAGGAAAGGATTTTTTTCTGATCACAATCAGTGAATTTGATCAATCAGCATTTTTTCTTCATATTCGAAAATTCTAGGCAGTATTTCTTGTTTCCTGTGGTATTATGGTCAGATTTTTTATTTTATCATTTTTTTTTGGTATTTTGTTTGTTTTTAGGAGGTGGAAGAGAGCTTTGATTCTTTATTTATATATCCTGTTTTCAAGGTCAGCCACATTGAATTATAGAAAATTCATATGTTCCTTCAAAGTTGTTTTTTGCTTCTCTTCAGTATAGTTTTCTTTTATTTCTGAATTTTTAAACTCTATATGTTCCATTCTCTTTTGCATGACCTGCTATTTTAAGATTTTCTGTTGTGAGTTCTTGTCTTAGTAAAATATGCCTTGAGAGTTCTGGTTTCTGGCATATTTCCCATTCTACTTTTTTTAAAAGTGTTATTTCTCTTTTGAATTATTTTGGAGGGTTTTCTCCTCTTCTTTCATGATCTCTAAGCTGTCTAGAATTTCAATGGGGTTTTTTGGCTCATTTCCCTGCATAGTATATTCCTTATTCATTGTGTACTTTTTAAAAAGTTGTTTTTTTTTCTTCACTGGAAGGTGTGTGTGTTGGGGGGGGGGGGTGTCACACTAATTTATTTCCTCGTAAGCTAGACTTACACCCAGCCCATCTCTGTCATACTTTCTGTTTTTCAGTCTTTTTTCTTGTGTTCTCTGTAGCTTGTCTCTGGCTTTCCTCTTTACTATTTGTTTCCTCTTCTTTTCCTTTTTGCTTTTGGGAGATAGTTTTTCTCCTTCACAGATTCCTAAGGCTAAGGATACTCAGCATCCTTGAATTTGGAGTATAGGGGCCCAGATGGTTTCCTCCCTAGAGCATACATATCTTCAGAGGAAAGGCCTGGCTAGATTTCTTCTATCCTCTCTCTTAGGTATGAAAGTTTCTTGTTTTCTAGCCAGTCACGAAAGCTTCAACTTCTGCACTCTTCCCCAGTATACATATATTCAGTTGTACTTCCCTTCACAGAGGTGGAGAGAATTATTGACTTCTGCCTTTTATTTGGTGTGGGTTGTATAGACTGGGTCATTGTCTAGCAGAAACCGGTTAGAAGCCACCAAAACTGAACCCTAAATTTCAATCATATGAGATTATGCTGGGTGGATAGGTTGGGAGTGAGAAGGCTGAGTAGGATTTTTAAGTATTTAACTTCTCTGGTGTTATTTAATGGCACTTTTACCTTTGTGCAGGATTGGTCTTTTTGTCATGTTGATTCAATTGGAATTACTATTGATTTTGTGCATATTTCCCTCTTTTGATGCTGTTAGGTTAGAGAAGATAATGCTGAAAATAACTTTGTAGTCATCTTGCCAATTATATAACCAAGTCACAGAACTCTAATCCTTTTTACCTTTGGGAAGTCTTAGAGAAAAACTTCTTTTTTCTTACAGGTTTATTCTGCTAAAATAAAACCAACAAAGATAATTCTGGTTTGTCTGTTTGTTTTTTCAGTCTATCTTCAAATTGCATTTTGTTAGCCATGACAGTTAATTTTGCCAGGCATAAAGTTTTGGTCTAAGAAATATTTTTCTAAAGAGCTATAACTGGGACATCAAGCAATCCATTTATCATGCCTTGAAGAGAGTTCTGGACACTCGACTCCCTACATGCTTTGCAGAGACATCCTTGCTTAAGTGTAGTTTCACTATATAAATAGATACTCACTTTTACATGGAAAGTTTTGTTAACCAGAATACTTACTGACCCATGACAGAATCATAGAAATAAAGTAACTTAGACAATTACTTGAAGTGTTACACTGCAGAATATCCATATCTAAGTGATGACTGGGTGAAGAGCAAAACCAAACTGGTTTGTTCTAAAATTGACATTCGGAAGAAAGGGATTTTTGAATCAGATTTTAGGACAGGAGATAGGTAGAGAGAAGGAGGTGGGAAGGAAATTGTTGGCAGAAGAAAATAGCTCATTTACAGTTATGAATATAGGAATAAAGAGCAGGGTTGGGGCACAGCAGGCCATTTTATTTGACTGAAGTAGAATCTATATTGTGGAGTAACGAGAAAGGACTTTGCTGAGATGGGAAATCCTTCAGTGAACAGGATAGTGACATGATATTTAAGACAGTTTGGAATAGAGCAGGGAGACACAGAAGGTAGGGAAACTTGGGTAGGAGGCTATATCGCAGTTATCAAAATATAAAATAATAGGGACCTGAATGAGGCTCATGCTTATAAAAAGAAAGTATCATTTAAAAAAAACTGACAAAAATGTGGTTAATGTATATATCATGAGCAAAGGAAAGAGATAAATGAAAAATGACTTTGAGGTTACAAGCCTAGGGAATATATAAGGTGGTGATGCCATAGACAATGATGGTGAAATTGAGGTGACTGGGGGGGAGGGAACAATAACTACAGTTATCAACATTTTAAGCCAAATATTCAGGAGCCATATCATGAAGAAATTATTAAAAGCAAGTATGTGGGATTTTCCCATAGTCATCCCTCTCATCCACCTCCCTCCAAAAAACCCTAACAACAACAATGCAAATTTGGCAGGATCAGTCTATAAACCCAACTAAAGCTGAATCCTATTTACTCAATGCAATGTTTAGTTAATACAGTTTTACTATTCCTATTGGCTCTTTGCACAGATTGTGAAGGTTTTTTTTTTCTTTCTTTGGTTTCAAAATTGTGATTTTGGACACAGGGAACTACTTTCTTTTAAGTGGGTTTGATAGTGTATGTAGTTGTCAGGCCAGTGTATGCTTGTCAACCAAGCCTGGTTTCTCAGTGTACTGAGTACTAACTTTTAAATTTACAAATGATAGTAAGTAATAGGCTATGCTTTAATCCTGGACACATTTTATGAATTTTCCTTTTGACTGCTTATGTTAAGCATCTTCCCTTGAGATCTGTCCTACTTGTTTGGAGAATAACTTGTTCTGAGTTTATATTCAATAACTGAATCAATCATGCATATTATACCAGCTATCACCCTCTTGAACACATTTGAAAAGTTTTAACTATTAAAGTCTCAATAACTGTGGCATTACTTCTAATTCTTTTTACCCAAACAAGCTTCTCAAGAGGGAATGTTTTATAGCAAAAATTTATCAGCATTTTTTTGCCTCTACTAATGCTACTAATGCTCTGGCTTGAAATGTTATGCATTCAGAATTGTTGTTTCCTTTCCAAAGCTAAAATTGCCATATTTTGTATCCATTTTGTGTTCTACTGGCCCAATAAGGGTGAGGGAAAATCAATAAATCGGTTTAAAAGCTCCAGGATATATATTTATCCCGGGGGGGGGGAACAGATTTAAAAAAAAATGATGGAAGGAGGAGGTACTCCAAAACTAAAATCCAGTTGTTTAACTAGAAAACATTTGGCTAATGAGAGAATTCATTTTAGTGAATATTTTTGCCACTCGGGGCTGTTTGTATCAATGAAAAAGTAAAAAATCAATAAAAAAAAATTTTCAGATGATTTCCCATAACAATGATACAGTTATAACCATTTTATTATTAAGAATTACTCTGAGAAGGGTAAAGACTGCTTAGTGAGGAGTCTTAATACTTAATTACTTAATACTTACGGCAACTGCCTCCAGGATTTGTTTAACTGCTTGTGCTGCATCACGCTCACTGTAATAGCCTTTTTCCACAATTCTAAAAGAATTAAGGAAATAGATAGATTCAGATAGTCTGATGAACAGTTAACCAAAATACAGTAACATTCAAATAGTTAGACTAGGTTATCATTTTCCCTGTGAATTAAGGAGTTTAGGCATAGAAATATCTTTAGATTCCTGCTTACTTCAGAGGAATAGAAAATATTTCTTTTGCTTTGTCTTGGACTGCCAACCTGCTATTAAAAGCACTTAGTGCTACAAACTTGCCTTTTATTTTTAGTCTTACTCGGGACTTGTGTCACAGAGATACTACTGCTGCTGTTGCTGCTGCTACTACTACTACATTGATAGATCCACATCATCAATACAGATACTTCATCCAATGGCAAAGATAGCATCCCTTCTACACCCTCTCAAATCATGTGACTCTTGTCTACGTGTTTCAATAAGTCTACAGGCAGTCTGCCTAATGTGCTTAGGGATTTCTACTTCTTCTTCTTCTTCTGCTACTACTACTATTACTACTACTACTACTACTACTACTTCTACTACACCACTACCACTACTACTTCCTCAGTATTTCAAGTCTCTTTGATTTGTGCTTGGGGACTTCTAGATTTCTTGACATTATATGGGTACTGATGAAACTACTTCTGCTGCTGCTGCTGCTGCTGCTGCTACTACTACTACTACTACTACTACTACTACTACTACTACTACTTCCTTAAATTTTAAAGTCTCTTTGATTTTTCAATGTAGGTACTCCCTTTATCAGTGTTAATTGAAACCATAGTTCTGGAGAGTAGCTGTGGCTGAGAAATCTGTTACCCTGAAACTAACTAATCTTATAATCAACCTCTTTAACATAGGTAGAATTATCCTTGGGGAACAGACATCAGCAAAGAGGGATAAACCCTTAGAGATATAATGGCTAGCACTAAATAATACATGAAGAGACCTATAGAATGAGCTATCAATATCCACAAAACTAATTCTGAATATCTATCTATCTCTATATCCACATACATATTTTATAATATTTACAATTCAATTATTTTCTTTGGCCAATTTAACAGCATTTAAAACATGGATAAAACACACAAAATAAACTATTTCAAAGAGTCAAGTGCATAAAATCACCTCGTATGTTCTTTTGACTCACGGTCAAATTCTGTGATACACCAAAGTCAAATTCATTAAGAGAAGGACATGCAATGAACTGATTTTTGTAGTTTCCAAAAATCAACTAAATACTTTAGTTTCATTTAAAAGACCATAAACCACAGACTTTTCCAATTCCTGATAAATCTTCATAGGGATATTAATAAAGCATGAAATTAAAATAATCATACTGTGCATTCATTATAAATTATAAAACCAAAGAAACAAAATGTCAGGAAAAGGGAAAGATAAGGAAGATTTATTAGGTTAGAATGAGCTAAGCAATTCAACAACTGGAATATTGGGTGGAAGCATATTTTGCTCAAAGTTTTTAAATATATATACTTTAATGATGCCCTTTGCTTTTACATCATGATCATTTCATCACCCCCACTGAATCCTCTCTGTGACAAACAAAAACAGTAAAGTAAAAACATCTGATAGACTGTATCTGATAATGTAAATACTATTCTGTCCTAGTAGCCCCACAACTTGCTACCTTGAGAAGTTAATTGTTTTTCATTTTCTTCTCTAGGGAATCTTCAGTGGTTTTTTTAATTACTCAGAGTTCAATTTCATTTTAGTGATCTTTTTATTTACAGTGTTGTAATTATTGTGTATATTGTTCTCTTTGTTCTGGTAATTTTGCCTTGTATCATTTCATATATATCATCCCATGTTTCTCTGAATTTCTCAGAGAAAGTGAGTAGAACACTTTACAACTCAATCAAAAGAGCATCAGTATGCCTGTTGTCCCAAAGTCCCTGCAAAACTTTTTTGTATCTCTTGCTCTTTGCTAATTTGTAAGGTGCAAAGTAGAATATCTGAGTTTTATTTTATATTTCTTTTACTATGACTAATTTGGAGAATACTCTCATATGGTAATTTATAGTTTGTAATTCTTTTTTTGAAAACTTCATATTCTTATCTTCATATTCTTATCTTTTGGGGAATGACATTTGCTGTTATATATAAATAGGAGTTTAATCAATGATTAATTGTTGATTGAAAACTGCTTCAATTCTTTGTGTATTTGTGTTATCCAACTTTTGTTAGTAATACTTGATGTAAATATTTACCCACTTTACTCTATCTCTTTTAATTTTATCTTCATTGATTTTATTACTATAAAAGCTTCTAAATTAATGTAGTCAAAATTGTCTATTATATGTTTGATAATGTCTTCTATCTTTTGTTTAGTCAAGAATTCTCTCCTTAACCACAGTTGTGAAAGGTACCTGATCTTATTCTCTAATATTTTGTGTGTTTTGATCTTTTATTTTTGTGTATTCATTTTGAGTTTATTATAGTTCAAAGTGTAAGCTCATAGTTTAAACTTAGCTTTGGTTAAAGTATTCAATCACCTATTGTCAAAAAATAAAAAATAAAGGACTCCTTTCCCCCAGTAATTTATGTTCATGGATTTATCAAACACTGAGCTCTTAGATTCCATTGTTTTTTAATTCTTGTTTGTTTAGCCTTCTCCAATGATCTACTCTTTTTTTTAACTGGTACAAAATCGTTTTTGTAACACAGCTTGTAATCTGGTAAATGTGATGAACTCTTCATTTCTACTTTTTCTGATTTACTTTTTTTACATTTTACATTTTTCTTCCAAAGGAATTTGATTATTTTAAAAATTCTCTTTTGCTATTGCTCTTGCATTATTTCATTTCTATAGCTACATGAAAAAACTGGGAAATAATAAACATACAATATATGATGTATTTTAGATATAATATGATAAGTATGGTGCTGATAACAATAATAATTCTTGCTTTTCTTTTGTCTTGATTTTAAATATATATTTTTCATTATTAAAAAGGTAACTTTGATGCCTTTGCTTTTAAGAGTTTTTAACATAAATAAATGCTGCAGTTTTTCAGATTTTTTTTCTTTATTGAAACAATCATGTAGTTTTTGTTGTCTTTGTTGTTTTTATAATGAAGTAGGGTAATTGTTTTCCTAATATCAAATGATTTTTGCAAACCTGATATGAATAGAACTAATACTGTGAATTACTTTCTGGATGTATTTCTATAGTCACATTTCAAAGGTTTTATTTAATTTTTTTTGCCTCAGTACCCATTGATTCATAATTCTTTTTTTCTGCCTTCTTTCTCCCAGGTTTATTTAGCAGAATCCAACATATTTCACTAAAGGTATGTGATAGAGTATCTCCTGTCTCCATTTATGAGAAGAATTTTTGTAGCATTTATATCACATGATTTTTTAATTTTAAAAATTTGATAAAATATGCTTGTGTAACCCAAGGTTTAAACCTGGAGAATTTTCATAAGACTATAGTAGAGAGATGATGAGTTGGCAGAAGAGCTTGGGAGAGATTATCTTCCTTTATTCTTCAAGAAAGAATACACATTTCTTGGGGCAGCTAAGTGGTGCAGTGGATAGAGCACCAGCCCTGAAGTCAGGAGGGCCTGAGTTCAAATCTGACCTCAGACCAAACACTTGACACCTACTAGTTGTGTGACCCTGGGCAAGTCACTTAACCCCAATTGCCAAGAAAAAAAAAATAATATACATTCCAGATGCTCTTAGGGGTGGTGATGTGAGAGAGAGAGAGAGAGTTAGTTGATACTCAATAGGTCCCTGATTTCCTTAGAAATTTCCTAAAATTTCTCCTTAGGTGAGATCAGGGACTTCTAGTTGGGCTGACATTTTGCACTTAGTGGGAAAGCTCATTCATTCTGAGAATTGTCTGCTTTATATAAATGGATTTATTTGCTGCTCATTATTTGTGATGGGTTTTTTGGATGTGATATGAGTCAAGGCTTCAGATATGACTCTGAAGTACTTCTAGCAACCAGGAAATCAGTTTAAACTTAATGAATCAATTTCCCCTAGGGGAAATAGATATAATTATAGTTTAATAATTTCATTCTTAGGAGAGCAGGGTGGCTAGCTTTATAGTCACTTCTCCAGCTCCCCTTAATGCAGGTATCAAATTCTCCCTTGGAGAGCCACACATTTAGTCAAACTCAGGTGATATACATATATATATATATATATATGTATGTATATATATATAATATATATATATCCCTTACACTTCTAAATGAATCAAGGCTTTTTTTGTTTTTTGGTTTTGCTTTGACAGTTCATTTATGACATTTCAGTGTCTTTTTCTAGCTAAGATAGTTTGTGGTTCCTTTATTAAGCCTTTTCCTGAATTTCATTCCAAGATTATCTCACTCTTCTGAACTCTTTTCACCTTTTCTTTTTTTTTTACTTCTCCTTGTTGTTTAATCATATATTGCCTTGAACTGATGTCTTAAATAGGTATTTCCTCCAAGTGGAGGGCAAGGCTCATTACATCTCTCCCAACATCAAATAATGCAATCTCAAAGCAAAATACAATATTCTTCTAATCTTCTTGGAACTAATGAACCGCATAGATATTCCCAGTTAATAGCCACAAGCATCTTGCATAAACACATTATCCAAGAAAGAGAGGATATGTCATGGCAAGAAAGAGAAATAAATAACTAAAGGCAGGCAGAACTGGGGACAGCCCGGCTTCAGAGGAGGTCCTTAAAAAAAAAAAAAGATCTAAAAGTGCAGTCAAGATGGCAGAGTACAGGCAGCAACCCCAGCTGAACTCTCCCAACAACTTTAAAATAACATCTGAAATAAAATTTTGAAGTGACAGAGCCAACAAAAGATAAGGGTGAGACATGTTTCCAGCCTACCACAACTTAGGAGGTGGGCAGGAGAGGACTGTGAAGCTTGAGCGGAGGCTGGCCTGGAACGCTGCAGTAGCAGCAGTGAACCTTGATGATGGCCATAAGAGTGGCAGCCGCAGTAGCAGCATTCAGGAGCTCTCAGCCCAGAAATGGTAAGGAGGTAAGACAACTG